AAAAGTTGGTAGAGATCATCTATTTCTTCTTCTTTGGCTCTGGTTCTTGGTGCATATATCTGAATGATAGTGGTATTCACTGGACTTCCTTGTAAGCGTATGGATATATTCCTGTCACTCACGATGTTGTACTTCAAGATGGATCTAGAAATTACTTTTCTTACTATGAAGGCAACCCCATTTTTCTTTGTCTTTTCATCTCCAGAGTAATATATCATATGGTCATCTGACTCAAAATTCCCCATGCCAGTCCATCTCATCTTTCCAGTGCCTTATATGTCAATATTTATGCGTTCCATTTCTTTCTTAACAATTCCTAATTTTCCTACATTCATGGCTCTCACATTCCATGTTCCAATCACTAGGGTCTGCTTACAACTGTTCCTCCTCCTTTGTATTTCCATACTTGATAGTTCTACCTACGTTGCCCTTTCTGTTAGTCTGTGTGTATTCTGTTGTGCATAGGGTTTTCAGAGGCTTGCTATTTCAGAAGTGGGTGGGCAATCCTTCCTAACGTATATTAGGTATATATATATTAAAAAATATATATATATAATATATAATTATATATAATATGTATAATTACATATTAGATATATATATGTATGTAAGCTATGATACAAATAGATATACTTACACCCATATTTATTTCTACTACAATATTATTTACAATAGCACTGAGAAGGAAACAATCCTAGTGTCCATCAATGGATGAATAATTAAAGAAACCATGGTGCATTCACATAGTAGAGTACTATACATTACCAAATAACAATAAAGAATTTGCAAAACTCTACTAACACATGTGAATCTATAAGACATTACACTGTGTGAAGTCAATCAGCCACAAAAGGATAAATACTGTGTCAGACTGTTGTTGTTAAGTGCCGTCGAGTCTCAGGCGACTCAAAGAGACCCTGTGAACGACAGTCCTCAACACTTGTGTGACTTTCATCCATTTTCCAGGTTCATAGTGTTTCTGGAGGCAAGCTTTTATGGAAGTGGATGCCACTCCTGCTTCCAAGCTTGTTTTATTCGGGGAGCTCCACCAAACACTATCCGCCATGGGTAACATTTAATGCATTTGACACATTGGTGTCACAGTGTTCAGCTTCACAGCAACCACAAGTTACCTCTGTATGGCAAGTGTCAGACTACGAGCATATAAAAAGCTAAGTAATGGTTTGCACACAGAATTAATAACTTTTGGATATTTAATAAGTTGATAATAAAACTTTCAAAGCTGTTGAGTTGGAATCAGCACAAAACTCACACTCCAGTGGGTTTTCAGAAGCTGTAAATTACATGGGAGAAGACTTCTTATCTTTCTCTCACAGAGCTGTTGCTGTATCTGAACTAGAAAGGTGCAGTCCCTAGGTTCGCAACACAACTCCAGTTACATATTAAGATGAGTGAAGGGAAAAGCAATATTTTATAAGGGATTGATAAGCACTATATCATGTAAGAAAGGATATAAAAAGAAAAGTAGAAAAGGATTAATGGGAGAATTACAGAGGAAGTGGGAAATGTAATGATATTGTGGGGACTAACTAATGTTACAGAACAAAATTTGTATGAATGGTTGAATTGAAATTTAATTTGCTTTGTATACTTTCATTCAAATAATGATTAAAGAGAGGAATAAATAGATTACTAAGCAGCAAAGACTATTTTTAAAACTAAGATGTTCATGGTATTTTCAATTGCTTTGTATGAATTTCATACACATTTTCAATTGCTTTCATATGAAAATTAGACAATGACTAAGGAAGTATTAAAATAATTAGCATCTTGGAATTGTGGTGTTGGCAAAATCCATAAATATATCAGGGATTGTCAAAAGAATGAACGAACATGTTTTGAAAGAAGTGCAGGCAGAAGTGAAGGTAGTGAGACTTGCTCTTAAATACACTGAGCATGTTATCTCTCAAAATAAAATTATGCTTGGAAAAGTGGAGGGTTAGCAAAGGAAAGAAAGGCACTCAACGGGATAGCTTGACAGAGTGACTGCAGTAATGGTCAGTGGGGATTGTGGGGATGGTACAGGATCAGGTAGGGTTTCAGGCTGTTGAACATAAAATGTTCATGACTGAGAGCTGACTCAGTGATGCCTAACATAAGACCTGTGGATATACTCCTGTTTGGAAATGGAATTTTTCTTTGGCATGTTAATAAGGCTGTACCAGTGTACAGCGTGTCTTAAGCCAATCACTTTTGAGATTTAAAAAGAGCAGCTCAGGCGCAGAAGCAAGGAAGCACAAATGGGGAAAGTGGATGCCAGAGCACATGAAGATGACCAAGGAAATAAGGTGCAAAGGCTCATAAGCGACCAGGACCACCTTCTAGAGGCAACAGAGAGAGAAAATGGATTAGGAAACTCAGGCAAGGGCAATAGCTTTACCCTCATGTTCCAAAAGTGTGAACCACAGGCAGACCCTTGCCAAAGATTCTGTGACTGCTCAGTCTGCTTGATGGCACTCTTTCTTCTGTAATATTCATGCGATGTATGTATGAACCAGTGTCTGAATGTATATAGCTGCAGTTTTGTTTGGGTTTTTTTTCCCCAAGGCACACTTACTCATATTCGTGGTGTCCATTCAAGAAATGCAGGGCTAGCTTAGAAAATAATTTCAGTGTAATTTCTTAAAGACACAAATTAAATAGATTCTGATCTGGAGAAACCACCACCTGAAAGCTTGTAGCAGTCAGCACAGGAACATTGTATAAGCATTGATCATGTATCGTGGTGCCATATCCCAAAGGCTTCTGTGTTGTTTGGCCCTCTGTACACTCTGTCCAATGCCCATCAGACCTAAACAACATAGAACTGAGGAACATGGGGAATGGTAAATGAGAGCTCTACTGGTGACATAAATGCGCTGAGATGCACCATGGTGCTTAACACACCTGGCAGGGCTCCAGTGGTCTCCGGGCTCTGCTATTTGGAAGCTGAATGCCTGGAGCTTGAGAAGACTAAGATATAGCACTGAACCTAGCCCACTTACCCTCCGCCGGAGCCTCCATTCTTGCTGCAGTGTGTGCGTGGCTCACTTGACGCCAACTTCAGCAGCTCCGTCCACTCGCGCTCCCATTCCTCTTCTGTGTACACCAGCCCGGACTGTGCACAAAGTGATGTCTCCTTCAGTAGGGTTTAGAAGGTCAGGGCAGTGCCCTTATTTGTTACTTGCCCCCCTAAGGAGTGCACACTAGCTGAGTGAGACCTAGGCTGGCACACCTATTAGAAGCTACTGGCTATTCCCTTTGTGTTTTCTTGACAATAATTTGTAGAAACCCCATTCTCTAATCTCAGAATTGATGGGAATCTGTCCAGCAACACATGTTTTTCTGGGGGAAGGAAAGATCACATACTATCCTGCACATGCCCTATCGGTGAGGCTGCCTATTAAACAGTTTCAGGGGTGATGGTAGTGAGCAATTCTTCTTACAGATAAAGTTAAAACACTCTTACGTTACTGTTCACCAAGGTAGAGAGAAATGCATCTAGCATAAACTGCAAACATTCCTGTACCTTTCTCACTTCTTGATTCTCTCAGTTTAGAATTAAATTTTATATAT